TCATTTACTTCATTTTTTGATTTACTTTACTCATTTTTTATTTATTTAACCCATTTATTTATTTATTTATTTAATTTTGGCGCAAATGGCTCTCCATATGAACTTGTTGCTAAAATTTGCTATATAAATAAACTCAATTTACATTAAATAAAATTCAAATAAAATGTAAGAACAAAATAGTGGCTAACTTAGTATAAGAAAAAGGGTTAAGAAAGGAAGGAAAAAACATAATTTCTGTTGTGAAAATTATAATTTTATTTAAATTTAGAAACAGATGTTAAAAGCATAGAATATAAAAATGTGAATTTCTAATCCACATACTGATAAATTGGAATTCTTGCACACTGTAATTTTCTTAGATTAATTTTTTTGTACATGCATAAGCTTGTTGAGAAGTCAGACATGTTGGAACTCCAACATTACAATTCTTCACCAGACCAGAGGTTTAGAGTGACCAGGTCACAGTGTCTGTGACTGGTACCCCACACTCCTGGAGAACCCCCACAAGGATTCCTGAGGGACAGGGTTGAACACCTTCTCCAAGTCCACAAAACACATGTAGAATGGTTGGGTGAGCTTTCACGCACCCTTCAGGACCCTCTTGAGGGTGTAGAGCTGGACCAAAACCACACTGCTCTTCCTGAATCCGAGGTTCGACTATCCGACACGCCCTCCTCTCCAGGACCCCTGAATAGACCTTGCCAGAGAGGTTTAAGAGTGTCATCCCTCTGCAGTTGGAGCACACTAGCACCTCCTTTTTGAATAGGGAGACCGCTACCCCAGTCTCTCAATCCAGGGGAACTGCCCCTGATGTCCACACAATATTGCAGAGTTGCATCAACCAACACAACCTTACAACATCCAGAGCCTTAAAGAACTTGGGGCAAATCTCATCTACTTCTGGGGCCAAGGAGCTCTTTAAGCACCATGGCGACCTCATCGCCAAAGATTAGAAAGCTCGACCCAGAGTCCCTAGGCTCCACTTCCTCAGTGGAAGGCAAGGATTGAGGAGGCATTCAAAGTATTTTTCTTACTGGCCCACAACATCCTGAGGTGTGGGCAGCAGCACACAATCTCCACTATAAACAGTGTTGGTGCTGTACTGCTTTCCCCTCCTGAGATGCTGGATGGTGGGGAGCAGAATCGCCTTGAAGCCGTGTGGAAGTCTTTCACTTGGCCTCTCCGAACTCTTCCCACACCCAGGTTTTTGCCTCAACAACCACCTGAGCTGAATGCCGCTTGAACTGGTGGTACCCATCAGCTGCTTCTACAGTTCCACAGGCCAAACAGGCCTGATCAGACTCCTTCTTCAGCCTGACAGCATCCCTCACCGAAGGTGTCCACCAGTGGGCTAGAGGGTTGGCGCCACGACAGGCATAGACAACCTTGAAGAAGTGTTAACAGATGCTGAAAAGGTGCCAAGGTTGAGATTTGACAATATACCAAGGGCAAACAGACTCTGCAAGTAGGATGCCCTCTCTACTGCTTTTTAACTTACATACACGCATCATTTAAATAAATTCTGAATATTCGATCCATCCATTGGCTATTTCTTTGCAGGGCTGCAGAGGGCCGATGTCTATCGATAGCAGTTTGTTTTTAACATACTTTATGTTGGCATGCGACCAAGATTTTTAAAAAGGGGATAGGTCATGTTCAAGGCTTCTTTAACTCTTCTATGTCTTATAACGATCCTCTGGACGACCGCAGAATATATTGCAGTTAGACAGCAGGGTACTGTCCTGTCAGACCATCACTTTCCGAAACAACACAATAAAGACCTTGTAGATGCACACTTGGGGTCAGTTGCAACACTACTGGACCCTGCACTGACCGAGTAAAAACACAGAGTAAAAATCTTGTGGGGTCTAAATGACTCCATATCTGAAAACTGTGGGAGGGTTAATGATATCTGTAGGTAGATTTCACTCAGGGACAAACTAGATTGTTTAATGTACTTTTAAAAAGTACTTAAAATTTTTAAAACACGTATAAAAGACTCAAATTACTCAACCGTCAAGGCCGAATAAATAAATAAATAAATAAATGTTTCTCAAAGTCTGAGAACAAGTAGGAATACATAACAAAACAAAAACGTATTTAAAAATAAGATTCCATACACCATACCATCCAGCTATGGTACCTGGAAGAGCCCTTGAATCCTTCTAAGATCCCACAAGATTTCAGTCCGGTTTCTCGTCAATATGCGAGACTTTAGAGCGATGCAATTTTGGGCAGGCATCCGTTTCTGGGCAAAACACCGGCTCTGGGCCATATAGTTTAAACTAGGGGGTACATTTAAGTGCTTCCCTCAGCTTTAAGAGCTTTCCATCGTGCCCCGTTGGCTGTTCATAGCGTGCACGTTCACGGCTGCGTCGCGCGGCCACGTTGTTTTGCTGTCACGAGCCTTCCGACCGTGAGTGGAAGCTGGTAAATTACAACGGACACCACACTGAGGTCAACACTTACGACAACAAAAACAGGCAGTACCGCAGATTTCTATCGTTCCGTGGCAAGTTAAAACCTGCCGAGTTATTCGGGTCAGCTGTTTTTGCTGTTTTTGAATGATATAGCTAGCCAGCTAGCTGTTGAACTAGCTTAACGGTCCTCGCGAGTCGAATAAACTTAACATCATTTTTCAGTCGATATTCATACCAACACGCCTGTCTGCTTTCATCTCCAAGACCTCCAACTAGTAGACATTTTTAAGCTCAACGGCTTGTTCTTCTTGGTGTTGCGCGTCACTTCTAGCCCGAGCGAGGTAAGGTTTGAATGAAATAACGTTAGCTTGTCAGAGCTAGCGGAAACAAGCCAGCTAACAAGGAAAGCGTTAACCTGTCTTGCTGCTGAACTTTTCCTCTCCGTCCAGTGAATCTAGCAAATGCTACTTGGACTAGCCACCGTCAAACATACAGTCTGTAGTTGGACAAGTGTTATTTGCCGAATTGTGAGGAGCGACTGGACGTGCAAATTAGTTAGCTCTTTCTGAACGTTAAGTTGGCCATCTTCCACTCCAGTCCAGCGTAAAAGGCTGCCCAGCATCGGCTTGTTTTTCCAGAGAAGGCCGGAGTGAGGAAAGGAATCTGCAAAAATGCCGGCTGTGTCGAAGGGAGATGGAATGCGCGGATTAGCCGTTTTCATCTCGGACATTAGAAACTGTAAGTGGCTTTACTTTGATCTGCTTGCTGATATGTTTCATTTAATCCCGACCGCACAGGTTTACATTCAATTGGTTGGTTTTACGGAGACTCTGTGAAGTGACGTGGTGTCACATTACTCTACACACTATAACTATACTCAAATGTTACTTTAAACGTAACCTTTATACAATCACACCTGTCACTTAATGCGGTCTAATGCTTCAATGTAATTGAAAGGCTCTTGATTTTCTGAGTTTATAAAACATCCGAGTCAGCCTTTTTTAAGCTGATAGGACTGCCGCCTTGAAGCATTAGCAGCCCGTGTCAGGTGCACAGGTCTGTTTTTAGGGAGTGAAGGACTTAAGCACCCCGACATGACCTTTCCCCTCAATTAAGATACACTGCTGAGCTCAACCCGTCACAATTTTATTAAAAAAATCTAATGCATGTTCCAGGACAAAGTATCTATCCACAAAATGTAATTCAGTTTAGTTTATTTAATGCCAGTTCAGAACGAACATGATCTCTAGGCACTTTGCAAAAATAAAAAAAATCAATTCAGTCACATATATATATCCCATTGATCCAACTTATCAAATAGAACATGTACATGTAAAGTATATCGCAAGCTGTTAATTTTTTCCTAAATGATTTCCAAATAAATAATGTTTATTTCTAAACAAAGATATAGGTGATATTTATAATTGCTGTTGGTGTTCTAAAATTGCTTTTAGCATGAGATTAGCCTCATTCAGTTGCGCCCTAATTGCTTTCTGTTTTAAACACAACTAAGTGATATAAAATTCTGGCCTGGACTTGGACATCCCTAGCCTGGTTCAAGCAGTAAGCATTGCTGATGTAAACATTAGCCCCTATGTATAATCCATGTTGTTGGAGAAGTCTGTTTGAACTGAGAGATTTCCAAATGATTTATTTCCTACATTATCTCATTTTGAGTTTGATTGAAATGTGTAAATTGGAGCAGCCTGAAGCAATCATGGTAAAAAAAAAAAAAAAAAAAAGTTAATTCACCATCAACAAAAACATCCAATTTTTAGAAGTAATGGGTCAATCGGCAGTCATGAGGAGTGGAGCATAAACTGTGTAATTCTGATTTCCACAGCATTTATCAGAGCTGGAAACATAGTTTCAGGATAATTGAGGCAATCGATACTGAATGCAATATTATGAAAAACATGATGAATAGGCTGTCGCGATAAACGATAAATCAATTAATCAGACGATAAATTAAACCTATCGACCTCATTTTAATTATCGTCTTTATCGTATCTTCCTGCCTTTTTTTCTTTCTGTTGACACTGAATAAAAAAGGCTCAACTCCGGTGCTCTCCACTTAC